CATTATCATCTGCCTCACTTTGTTTGCTGTGGCTGTAACAAAATACTTCAGACCAGCTGATTTATAAAGAATAGAGGCTTCTTTAGCTCACAGTTCTAGAACTTGGGAAGCCCAAAAGCACCGTGCTTGGCATCTAGTGAGGACCTCCTTGCTGCATGATAACATAGCAGCAGATAACACAAGGTAAGACAAAGCAAAGGTGATGACTCAGATCTCTTTCTCTTCTTCTTATAAAGCCAATAATGCCTTCATAGGGACCATCCTATGACCTCATCCAATCAAAGTTGCCTTTGAAATTCCATTAACATATGAATGCCAAACCATTAACATATGAATCTGGGGATTAAGTTTCCCACAATGAAATTTTGAGGACATGCTCACACCATATCCACCACCTTTCTCCTCATTTTGTAGATGAAAAACCTGAGGCTCAAAAAAGGAGGTAACTTGTCCAATATCACACAGCTATTGATAATATTAAAACCTTCTAATAAATGACTTTGCTTCTGAGATCTCAGAGAAATTGTCAAACTGTATCTATCTCAACACATTCCTATTTCTGATATGAAAACTTGGATATGAGAATAATATTGAGTGTCTTCCTCTTGGCAAAATTATTTGGAAGAAGAGACAAATGTTTGCGGAAGATGCTATAGCTGTAGACCACATCTGTATATAATCAGTTAATGACCATTTAGGGCAGCAAAAATTCTTCTTTGAAAATAGAAGTATGTTCCAGGGGGAATAAACCTGTTTTGGAGACACATGGGTAAGCCGGATAAACCATGGGAGTCACCCAATGTAGCAATTCTAGTGTAGAACATTCAGCCATAGATCAAGAGGCCTTTACAAATTATGTGCTCTTCATAACAATGAGTGAAAATGAATCATACACTTTGAGAATTAATCAACATACAACTAGGTGAATAAATTTTGCACATGTAATGTTAATGAAAGAACTCAGACCCCAAAGAACACATTTCAGATGACTCTGTTTTATAATGTTCAAAAACAAGCAAACCTAATTCTTGGTGTCTTAAGTCAGGATACTTACCTTGAGTGGGGGTAGGGTGAGAAAGGTGTTCCCCACCATCTTTGCATCTTGAAACCCTGAGCAAGGGCCACAGGCCCAGAAATCATACAAAACTGGGTTCAAATCCTGGTTCTACAAGTGGGTTACTTTGAACAAATAATTTATACTCCCTGTGCCTCAAATTTTTCCATCTATAAAATGGCCTAATAATACCTTCCTCAGAGGGTTGGTGTGAGAAGTAAGTGAAATAATGTATGTAAAGTGCCTGGCAGCATGCGTAGGTGCAATAATAAATGGTAACTATTATTATCCCCGCCCCTATGCCTGATAGTAAACCAGGATCAGAGAAGAGATAGGTAAGTGCACAGGTGAGAAGGAAAGGGAAGAACCAAACCAGGCTTATGATCAAACATGTGCAGAATCCACCAGGATGCTGTACAGGAGAGAGCTGGTTCTTCTCCTCCCACAGCCCACACAGTCTCCTAAATCTTGCTCCCTACAAGTGTGGGCCAGCTCCGTGTAGCCGGCAAAGTTGTTTTTGTCCCATCTACACAGACCCTTGCTAGAGACTTGACACTGATCTGATAAAATTAATTTGTACTAATGGTCTCATAGTGGTTACCAGCAGATAAGTGGGTTACCCTCTTAATGATATAAGTTGCATTTTAACCAGAGCCTTATGGACATATAAAACCTTGACCTAGGCTGAGTATAATTTCACCTTATCCCAGGTCAGGAAGGAGCAGATTGGGAGGGAAATGGGAGACAATATAAATAGGGTAGTGTTAAGGTCAGTGATTCAGGAACAAACCAGAGCCCAGGGGGTCCCAGTTGTAGAAACTCTGCAGGTCTCCCTCTTGATTGCAGAAGGAGGACAACACCAGACATGTTGAGTTCTTTCTAACTAGGGAGAAGAGTCCTTTCAGGAGGCCCTGTCAGCTTAGAGGCCTAGGCCCTTTGGAGATCAGAGCAGAGATAGAATTTTCAGTTTTGACTTTGATTGTTAAATGAGGTCTTAGGACAGTCACACAGGGGACACTGCTTAGCAATGAAAAGGGGCAAACAGCTGACACATGCAATATGGATGGATCTTCGGAACATACTGTTTAAAGGGGAAAAGCCAGACCCCAGAGACTACATGAAATTCTGGAAAAGGACCATGTATCTACACTGACAGATGCCTGGGACCAGAAATGAGATTGATTTAAAGGGGTGGGAGGAAATGTTTCTAAGCCAAGGAAGTGTTCTGTATCTTCACAGAGATAAGGTAACAAGGACATAAGAGTTTGTCAGAGGCCATTGAACTGTCCACTCAGAATGGGTGCAATTTATTTCATGTATGTTATCCCTCAGTAAAGTTAATTTTAAAAGGAAAAACATGACATCTTAGTCATAGTGGTTGTTCCTCTCTGGAGTAAGCTGGGAGGCCTGCTGGAGAACCTCAGCCTCCACCATTCTCCTAGCAAATTAACATTTGCTCAGGACTTGGCAGTTAATGAAGCACTTTCTCCTCTTTTGATGATAACACCTATTCTATGAGGTGGGCATGATTAATCCCATTTTATAGCTAAGGAAATCGAAGCATAGAACAGCTAAGGGAATTGTCCTAAATTTTCTGACTCAGAGTCTTGCTATCTTTCCATTGTCCAGGACTGGCCCTGGAAATGACCTCAGAAATGATGCAGATCCAGGGAACTGAAGCCCGAGAATGAAAATCCCAACACAGTTGTGCTGTTAAAGATAGTCCAAAATCAAAGGCATGCCTCCTCTTACAATAAAGAAAGAAATGTTAAATCGGGTTCATCCGGAATGGAGATAGAACAATATGCATTTCCCATATGCAAGAGTTTCTGATCAGAGTAGAGGATCCATCCTAAAACAAGAGTAAGGCTCTTTTCCAAGGCTGTAGATTCTACCTCTCACTGTGTGGCACAGTCCTGCATCCCCCTGAGTCCCAAGGGTCTTCTAACTTTAACAAACTACAGCAAGCAGCACATGCATTACCTCACCCTAGTCTGGCTTGTTTCCTAGCAGTGATTGTCCAAAGCTTGCTCGTTTCCCCCTTCTGTTGGCTTCGTACCCTTTGCCCATTCCTCCCTGCTGAAATCACAAAGCTCTGGTCCCAGAAAGCAGTCATGAACCTCCTCCTCCTTGCCAGAGTCTTTAATATTAGAAAAGGGGCCCCTGGTGTGGGATACTGGTTATCCCCTGGCCCTTTCCATAGGTACAATTTAAAAGCATGTATGTATGTAGGAGTAGAGAGAGAGGCAGGGAAGATCAAAGCTGTTGTGTACATAGGGGCAAAATCCTGAGTGGAACCATAAGAAACAGTCAGTGGTAGTTAACCTGGGGAACAGATATCAAACAGTGGGAGGAGGGAGAGTTCTATGTTTTATTTAGCTCCTTTCTGTTCAACATGAATTCTAACCAATATATGTGGATTACACTTATTTATTTATGCCAATAAGCATAAGCTAGGTCCAGAAATTATGGGCCATATTTACCTTATATATATCTGCACATAAAAGGAAAAACACAGGAAGCATTCTTTTTCCCCCTTATTATTAGGATATAATAGTTGTATGGGGAAAACAGTGTGACCTTTACATATGTGCTTAAACTTTATCTTTATTGGATTCACCCCCTCCATCATTCTCCCTTATCCACTCTCTCCCACTTCTTAAAACAATTTCAACAAATTTCACTGGAGAAACATTAATTCTTAAAAATAAAATAAGCATCTAAAATTTGCCACCTACCCACCTTCTCAGTGACCAAAACATGCAACAACTTAAATGACATGACTGAACCTGCTCCAATGTCATAGAGCCAGGGAGGGTTGTAAGAAGGGGGCCAGGAGTGGAATCTTCCATGGATGCCTGGCTCCCCTCTGAGTTACTGACACCCCTGTTTGCATCTCCATGGGGTTCACTCCCACCTGCATGTTAGTCCTCACCCTGTGTGCTTGCTTCAGTCCTCACCCTCAGCCCTCTTCAAACCATACTTTGTTTAGGGCCAGAATTGTCTTACTCTTCTTCAGTGTTTTCAGAGTTTAAAGCACACAGAATAGAGGCTGAAATAACAGTTATTCAGTACAATGTAGTCAGTCTCAAGAGGACAGGAGGGCCGGGGGTTGACACCACCAGATAGGGTCAAGGTAGGCGGCAAGCACCTACTCTCCCCAGTTCCTCATGTCTGCTCTGTCGGTGCCTGGCAAGGTTCAAACGCCTTCGCATGTTTACCAAGACCTTCTCTGCTCTGGTTCACACCTGTCTTTCTGCCCTGGCTCCCGAGACAGTCAAACTGGTCCTTTCACCACTCCCTGAGCGCACCTTAAGGCTCCCCGCCTGCAGGCCCTTGCTCATGCGTTTCCCAATCTCTGTCACTGAACACCCAGGTCACACCAACGTCTCCCTGAAGATCTCTCTAAAGCGCCCCTCTGTCTGGGCTTGCTTCCCTTCCCAAGTTCCCTTACTGCTTTGCTAGGGAGTTGTACCAGTTTGCATTGTGATACCTCCGTATCACGGAATGAAGGCGTGTCTCTCACCCCGCCTTTCCAAGCGTCAATTACAAGTCTAGGATCTGCAGAAAAGAAGGAGCAATACACGAGTGTAGGTCGAGTCAGAAGTAGAATTAAGTTAAAGTCTAGATCAAGATTGGGTCGGCTTTAGAATTAGAATCGAGAATTCAATTCTAATTGGTTAGTCAATTTCTAGTCTCACCCACTAGGCGGCACCCGCAGTCTCATTCCGGTCAAGACACCTCCAGGTTTTGAAGTTTATTACCTGTCTAACAAGTTTCCTTCCTGCCCTACTGTCTCTTTAAGAAGGTGAACCAGGTGAGGCCAAGACTCCGCCCCCGGGTCTGGCCCCACCCCCCCCGCCTCCGCCCGGCCGGCCAGGCTTACCCAGTCCCCTGCAACCTGGCCCAGCTGTCGGGGCCGAGGTCCCAGGTCCCGGCCGGCGCCATGGAGCGGCGCTGGCCCCTGGGGCTCGGGCTGCTGCTGCTGCTCTGCGCCCCGCTGCCCCCGGGGTCGCGCGCCGAGGAAGGTACCGACCCCCGCCCTCGCCGCCCACCCCCCGCAGCCCCCTGCGGGAGCCCGCATTCCAGAGGAGGCCCTGCTCCCCGCGCCCCACTCGCGCTCCCTCCCTGGTTTCGCCCGGGTCGCCAGGCTATCGATTGGCCAGGCCAATCTTTGCTCTTTAACCCCGAAGTGCTGCACTCCCGGGCCAGTTCCCCCCATCCCCCTTTTGCTGGCCAGCAAATATGCCTGGGGGTGGAGAGGGATTCCTCACCATTGCCAAGAAGCCGCACCCCCACTCCTGCATCTTGGACCCTTCTTTTGCCCAACCCAGAAATCCGGGCCCTCTAAAGTCCGAGGTGGGAAGCGGCCTTTGTCAGCCTAAGCCAAGGCCACAGAGGAACCTGCTACGGGGCGGGGATGGGGGTGGGGTGGTAGGGAGTAGAAAGGTTAGAAGCTAAAGGGTTTCCCAGGTGTAGGGGCCAAACCTTGCACCTAAAGTCGTGCACGCCCTCTCCAGTGCTGCTCCTCCACTTCCCCAAATCCGAGTGGTGCCTTGTACCGCCAGTCACAGGCCAGGGCAGGCCTTTGACAGTGAAAATCGTCTCTCCACCGAGGAACCTCCTTCTAGGGTCCCATTCAGCATTCTCAGAGGGCAAGTTCCCGCTGCCATCCACCCATTATAGCTCTGCAGCTCTTGGATGCCCCAACCTCTCCAGCCTCCCACCCCCCACCCCTCCGCCCCGCCCCAGGGTCTAGCGGTGCAGTTCTCAGTAGGGGTATTCCTCATGCTTTGGTTGACTTTGGTCAAAGCTCCAGCACTCCAGCCCTTGTCCCACTCTGCCTTGCTCCCTTCACACTCTGAATAAGACAGTGTAACACCTAGAGCTCCTCACTCCTCATTCCTGGGTCCTTTTGTGCCCCTGAGCCTCAGGTTGTCCAAGCCGTTAGGAAGACAATGTTGAAGCCTTGGGGCTGGAGGGTCCTAAAAGAGAGGAATGTGGGTTGCAGGGCCACTTCCTCCCCTAGAAGTGACACTCTCCTTTTCTTTTTCCCAATTTCAGTCACTTTGATGGACACAAGCATGGCACAAGGAGAGTTGGGCTGGCTGCTGGATCCCCCAGAGGATGGGGTAAGTGTCTGAAGGAAGGGTGTAGGAAGGTTCAAGGCTGAAGGCCAGTGGGAAATGGGGTGGAGAGGTGGGTGGAGGAACAGAAAAGAGCAGGAAAAACTGGAAGTGTCTCCTCTGTAAGGGGGAGGGGAAGCTGAGTCAGAGCCTCCTGAATGGGATATGGGGGGGTCAAACTTTGCCCCACAGGAAATGTCTCCACCTCCTGGCCCCTCCCCCTCCCTGCTGTAGTTGTGAATACTTACCGGGATCTGAGGAGATGAACTCACATCCCATGGGGGAGAGCATGGCTGTGCTGGAGAATGCTGAAGGCTGAAACCAGAGTCTTGCTTGGGACAGAGGGACAGAGGCACCAGGAAAGCAGCCTCACCCTCAGCCTCAGCTCCATTCATCCCAGTGGAGTTTCTTGGATAGGTTTCAGGGGCAAAGGGTCTGATACCCTCAAAGTTAGAAGCTGCTCCCCTCCAGTCTCCTAGCCCTTGGCTTATTCTCCATCCCTCCCAGGTAGGCTCCAGGCATACAATGTACTCCAGCTGTTTGAGGACACAAGAGCCTGCTCCAAGTCCCTTCCCTCCTTGGGTGTCCCTGAGAACCAGTGAACAGAGGTGGGTTGTGGGTGAATCTCAGCAAGCATATTCCTACACAAAGTCCAGAAACACCTCTGCTACCACCCAGCAGAGCTGGCTGCAGAACCACAGGAGGCTGCCTGGAGAGTTGCTGGTCCCAGACCCTGTTCTCAGGGTGCTCCCTTCCAGGACCTGAAACTTCAGTGCAACCACTGTTTCTGGGGTCGCAGTACTTGCTTTCTTTCCCTTTTGGTCTGAGGGTCTTTGCTCCATTCTGTGTTCACTCTCTCACAGAGTGGCTTGTAATTACAGTTAATAGACTAAGCCATAATATATCCTCCAGGAGGGGCTGTTTGGAAAATCCTGGATTAAGCCAGCCCTAATAGATGCTTCATCTCATAAACCAGCTAATCACTCCACAACGATGGCAGCAGGTCCATCTGCTGGCTCTCACTGTCCCTGTGTTGTGCCCCTGCCAGCCCCACCCAAGTAACTCTTCCCTAATTGGGCCTGACTGGGAGCAAGGTCCTTTTCTCAACCTTGTGCTAGGAGGGTAATAAGACAGTCAGCAGTCCCATACTGCTACTCTCTACGCAGAGTCAGGCTCCTCAAATGCACCCATGTAGCAGCCAGTTGGGCCTGAGTGTTAAGTGAAAGGATCCATAGTGCTGTTCCTGCCCCCCTGATTCTTCCCCATCTTCAGTGCTAGAACTGGAAGAGGCAGTTACAGCTGGGAACATCTGCTCCCTAGGCTCCAGCTGCAGTCTTGGCAATCTGGTTACTGAGCTGCACATTTACCACCCACTGCCCTGTCCACCTGTCCCACCCTGTGCCTGCCACATGGGCTCTGGCCTCCTCACAGCACAGACTCTAGTTGTCTTCTCATTATAGCTTCATTGCCTTTCAGATACCCCTTGCCTGATCTTTGAACTCTCTGACATAATGCAGAAATATGTTCCTCACAGCAGCTTGTACTTCTATCCCACCCCACTATAAATTCTTAATGAAGGATGCTTTTTCTTGCCTTTCCCAGAGCTGAAAGTAAGCATGAGAGGCCATGCACAGGAGTGGAGTAAAAAACCAGGAAAAGGAACTTTCTTAGGACCTTGGTCTCTTCCATATGAAATGAAGGGGTGGCATCCAAAAATATCAATGGAATATTTTAGAAAATCTGAGTGCTTTTTTTTCATAAATTCATCAGGCAGAGAAAATACTTAAGAATGAGAATATTTTTGGAAGAGGAATGAAGTGGGAGACTTGTCCTATCAACAGATATCAGAGCATCAACAATGATTAATACATGGAGTACACTGACAAGAATACTGAGGCCAATGGGATGGGATAGAAAGTCCAAAAACAAGCCCACATACATAGTTTTTAATGAAGATGACAGTGGAATTGCAAACCAATGTGGAACGTATTATGGGGGACAGAAAACTTTCCACCCCTGGTGTTTTCATACTGGAGTCTATGAAACTGGCAATCCATAACAGGAGAAGCCCTATTCTAGTTACATGTATATACACAGGAGGCCCAAAATATGATACTGGAGGAAGAGTGAGATGGATGAAGCATTTATCTACTCCTGAGCTATAGAAAGGAGTTGAGGGTGGAGAAGTGGGACTAGCCTGTGTTCAGGTGAACAAAGACTATCCTGCTGTGCAGATAATAAGTCTCTGGGGTATTAGAAGTTATCGTGGAGCGGCCCTATTCCTGCTACAGATTCCTTCCTAATGTAGATTTCCTTCAGAAATATAAATTTCTTTTGATAAAGAACAGCTTTTCAGAACTACTGTGTCTACAGTTTCTGAGTATGACAAAGAGTTATACTTTGGGATGGTGTGTTCTGGGCCTCCAAAGTATTAACAAGCCATTAAATTGACAATCGGATGTCTGTAGATAGTTTTTGGTTTTTAAGCAAAGAAAGTAAAAACACCTCCTTACTTTACTACTTCACACACACGCACACACGCACACATGCACACACTAAATTTTAAGGAGATTAAAATGTAAACCTAAAAAACAAATGTACAAAAAGTTTAAAACAAAAGACAGAAGCACTTTATAATAATGCAATGGGAGACCTTCCCATACAAAATATACAAACCCCCAAATCATGACATTATTATGTAAAATTTTTAAATGTATATCCATAGAAAAATACAATTAAACAAAGAAGCATGTTAAGCAAAATGATTAATGTCTATATAACATGTTTTTTAAAAGCTTATCCAAATGAATTATCAAAGGATAATAGGCTATGAACAAATAAGTGCATAGAAATATAAAATAGCCAGTGAACAAAAGAGAAACACATAGCCTCCCCTTCAAAGAAATGCAAGGAAAAATGGTAAGAAGTTGTTTTGACCATCAGATTGGCAAAAGGAAAAAAGAACATTAATATCCAGTGATGGTGAGGTTTGTAGAAAATAAGCCTTCTTGTACTGTAGAAGTATAAATTGATAAAAATCTTTTAGAAGGCAATTTAGCAGTATCTTTTAAAATGTGTAGCATATCTAACAAGTTCTTCAGAAATCTTACATTAATCTGTATATTTTCCTAAACTAAAAGCTACCTAAATGCCCAACAATATGACTGGTGAATGATTAAATAAGTCATGGTATATCCCTACAATGGAATACTCTTTATAGGTTGCTAAAAAGGTCTATACATACTCATATAGACATCTTTCTAAAACATTATTTTTTAAAGCAAGTAGGTTACAGAATAACATATGTATGATCTCATTTATATAAAAAACAAAAACAGGGCCTTTAGGCATTTCTCTAGAGGCACTGAGAGTAGTCTGGAAAACTATTCCAATTATTAAGAGTGGCTGCCTCTGAGAACAAGAGTGGAAGAATGAGGGGACTTAACATTTTATTCTGCACCTCTGTTCCTTGACTTTATAATCACTGAGTAAGTCACTCCGCAATTAGGCAAGTCACTCCACCTGCTTGTGCCTCAGTTTCCTCATGGGAAGTGCTTAGAACAGTGACTAGTTCAATTGTAAGTGCTATAATGGTGCCAGCCATTGTTGTTATTCGTTTAAATTTTCCTTTAATGTAAAAGAAGTTAAAGGGGTAGACTAGATAGTGCCTGGGAATCCAGCCAACTTTCTGATTGGTTTTGATAGTGCTGTAACTGGAAGGAACATTGGAGGGGTGAGATTCTTCCACACAGACAGTTATGTACTTGTTCTTGCCTTCCACAAGCAGAGGGGCTTTAATATTAAAAAAAAAAAAAAAAAAGAGGAGGAAGGAGGGAGAGAGAGAGAAGAAAAAAGAGAAGTCTCCTCTGAACAAATAGGCAGAAAGGTTGTGAATGAGCTTTGCCTTTGGGGTACCTGATGGCTCTGCTGATAAAACAAGTAAAAATTGGTGCTCACACTGTTATGTTTGAGGCAAGCTAATTGAAGGGACCAGAGAGGGCTGGTAAGGATGTTAAGGAGCTACTGTCTTATCCATCCCATATCCAGGCAAATCCTCAACCTTAAACACTTAACCTGCTATCCTGAGGCTGAGGAATCAGGTTAGGTAGATCAAGTGGCATGAACATTGTGGGGGTTGGGAGGAGGGGAATGGGGTGCTCCAATACCAGCTTCTTCATCAGCAGCAGTCTGGACCCTGACCCGGATTCTCTTCTTGCAGTGGAGTGAGGTACAACAGATGCTGAATGGGACACCCCTATACATGTACCAGGACTGCCCAGTGCAGGAAGGTGGAGACACTGACCACTGGCTTCGCTCCAATTGGATCTACCGAGGGGAGGAGGCTTCACGTGTCCATGTAGAGCTGCAGTTCACTGTACGTGACTGCAAGAGTTTCCCTGGGGGAGCTGGGCCTGTGGGCTGCAAGGAGACCTTCAACCTTCTGTACATGGAGAGTGAACAGGATGTAGGCATTCAACTCCGACGGCCCTTGTTCCAAAAGGTACTACTGCATGCCACTACTACTGAAACTAATCCCTACCTGGCTCCTTACCATGACCCCTCTCAAATAAGAAAAAAAGGAAGGCAGAGACAGGAAGACAGTACAAATGTAGAATAATGAAAAGAATGTGGGACTAGAAACCAGAAAGGCTGGATTGAGTGTCTTCTTGCCTTGTCCTGACTTTGGGTATGTCATTTAGCCTCTCCAAGCTTTGGTTACCTTGTCATATAATAGCCATAATAATAGGGGCAGTCTTTCTATTCTACAGTTTTATACTTGTATCCATTGAGATAGCAGGATGCCATGGTGAAAGAAGGTAGATAGTGCAGAGGTTTTTAAACTTTTTCTTCAGTACCCATGGTGTTCATGTGCGACACACCCCTATGAGTTACTGTTACATAGTAGGGTAATTCCTTGTTGGCAGTCTCTAGTACCATCCCTTTTTCTTATTCAGGAACACACCAAAATACAAAACAGTAAGGAGTATATTATTAGCAGATGTGCTCTCATTTCTTCCCAAAGAGCAAAGGTTGTAAAGTTTGTTCTTGGTAATAAATTAATTATGACACACTACAACTGATCACTTCATTGATATTAAGGTTGGGAACACCTTCCAATAGTGGAAATTCCTGGAGTTCCACTTCCTGGATTCCAATTCTAGCCCCCAAGATATTGTAGCCATGTGATCTCATGCAAGATATCTAATTTCTCTTAGCCTTAGCTTCCTCATCTGTTAAGTAGAGATGATAAGACATCCTACCTCATGGGATTACTGCATCGACTAAGTAACATAATGCACACCAAATGCTTAGCCTGGTATCTCACACATAATAAACTTTCAATCATGGTGATTTAGATCACAAAATACAGGTTACGTATCCCTTATCCAAAATACTTGGGATCAAGAATGTTACAGATTTCAAAGTTTTTCAGACTTTATATTTGCTTATAATGAAATATCCTGAGGATGGAATCCGAGTCTAAACATAAAATTCCTTATGTTTCATATACACCTTATACATATAAGTTGATCGTAGTTTTAATAGTTTTAGTGTGCCTGCATTTTTAATGTGGCTGTGACATGAAGTCAAGGTTGGGATTTTCCATTTGTGATATTCCTTAGGCTTGCGAGCATCTCAGGTTTTAGATTTTCAAGTTATAGATGTTATGTAGGAATGAAGCATCACCCCCTCATCTCCTGCCCTTCCTCCCAGGTAACTACAGTGGCCGCAGACCAGAGCTTCACCATTCAAGACCTTGCATCTGGCTCTGTGAAGCTCAATGTGGAGCGCTGCTCCTTGGGCCACCTGACCCGCCGCGGTCTCTACCTTGCTTTCCACAACCCAGGTGCCTGTGTGGCCCTGGTGTCTGTACGGGTGTTCTACCAGCGCTGTCCTGAGGCTGTACATGGCTTGGCCCAATTTCCTGACACTCTCCCTGGACCTGGCGGGTTGGTAGAAGTGTCTGGGACCTGCCTGCCCCATGCACAGATCACTCCTGGACCTTCTAGTACACCCCGCATGCACTGCAGCCCTGACGGCGAGTGGCTGGTGCCCGTGGGCCGGTGCCACTGTAAACCTGGCTATGAGGAAGGCAGTGGTGGCATGGGATGCAGTGGTAAGGAAGGAGGCACTGAGAATCCCTAGGGATCACTTGGGAGGGTCTCCTAGGTGCCAAGCCAGGGAAGGAGGCTGAGGCTGTATCTCAGCATTTTGCTTTTTGTTGTTTTGTTTTTTAATACTGGGAGGTCAAACTCAAGACCTTATGCATGCTAACCAAGTATTCTACCACTGAACTGCATCTCTAGTTGTTGGTTTTTGGAGAAATAGTCTCACTATATAGCCAAGGCTGATCTCAAACTCAAAATCCTCTGGCTTCTGCCTCCTGGGCACTGGGATTATAGGCATGCACCACCATGCCTAACCATCTCAGTGAGTGCCCAAGAGTCCTGTGTACACATATGCACAGGTGTTTCCAGTACAAGGGACTGGGGTGGAAAGAGTGTGGGATTGGTTCTTCATATAAAACATTAGAAAAACATGGCTCTGCTCTATTCTCTCTCCAGTCTGCCCTAGTGGCTCCTATCGGACTGACTTGAACATACCCCATTGTCTCAAGTGCCCCCAACACAGCACAGCAGAGTCTGAGGGGGCCATCATCTGTACCTGTGAGAGTGGCCATTACCGAGCCCCTGGGGAGGGCCCTGAGGTAGCATGCACACGTGAGTCCAAGGGGCAGGGCCTGGCCATCTGGGAGGAGGTGCTGGACCTATGCAGCCCTTTGTTAAGATGAGAATTTCCCAGAGCTTATCATGAGGTATTGGTGACTGTCCAGGGTGTCAGGCACTTACTTGCAGCCCCTCTGTGGACCTGCTCTCCCTGGAAAACTGCAGAGATGTGGTCAATGCTTTCTCTTCAGTAGAAGTCAGATCTCCTATGAGAGCTTTGGAGGACTTCAGGGGTTGGGGGATAGACAAAGGAGGGGGTCAGCAGCTTGGGTAAGAACGAAACTAGCAGTTACTGATGGCCCCTTTTCTCCCACAGGTCCTCCGTCTGCTCCCCAAAACCTGAGTTTCTCTGCATCAGGGACTCTGCTCTCTCTACACTGGGAACCCCCATCAGACACAGGGGGACGCCAGGATGTCAAATACAGTGTGGAATGTTTCCAGTGTAGGGCCACAGCACAGGATGGGGGGCCCTGCCAGTCCTGTGGGACAAGTGTGCGCTTTTCCCCAGGGACTGGGGGGCTCACCATGCCTACTGTGCGAGTCGAAGGCCTTGAACCTTATGCCAACTATACCTTTAATGTCAAAGCCCAAAACAGAGTGTCAGGGATGGACAACTCCAGTCCTGCCAGTGCCTCCCTCAGCATCAACATGTGGCATGCAGGTGAGGCACCTGGAGCAAACAGATAGCCTAAGATACAGGGACAAGTGAAGGGCAGGAAGCAGTGGAAATGCTCCTTAAGTTATTCCTTTTTTCCTTCCAAATCCAATGCTGTTCCTCTGGATGCCCAGAGTCACTATCAGGTCTATCTCTAAGGCTGGTGAAGAAAGAACCAAGGCAGCTGGAGCTGACCTGGGCAGGGTCCCGGCCCCGCAGTCCTGGGGGGAACCTGAGCTATGAGCTGCATGTACTGAACCAGGTCAGGATGCTACTGGGAGATGCTCTTTGGTGTCTGTTGCTTTGGCACACTCCAATATACCTAGCCTGGGTTGAGGGGTAGGGAACCACCCACAGCAAACTGGCTTTCTCAGGACAAAAGTCTGCAAAGAATCCTGTCCTTATGATATTAGCCAACCCCTCCCCTACGTCTCCATCATCTCCACCTGGATCTGGTTCAGCACAGACTAGTTAACACAACTTCCACACACAGGATGAAGAATGGCACCAGATGGTTCTAGAACCTAGGGTCTTATTGACAAAACTGCAGCCAGATACCACATACATCGTCAGAGTGAGAATGTTGACTCCACTGGGTCCTGGCCCTTTCTCCCCTGACCATGAGTTTCGGACCAGCCCACCAGGTGGGTTATTTCTTGTTGCTCTCCAAACACACTTGCCATTTCACACATATACCTTAGCTCCTATTCCAGTTAGTAACCATTACACTGTTCTGCACGCATGTACACACATACACAGAGTGATTCCCCTGATATAAGAGACAGGCATGTATCCAATGCCTACTGAGAGACCTGATCCTGGCATACTCAGGGCCCTGCCTTTTAACCTCTTTCACCCCATGGACTATGAACCCCAAGACTTCCTCACCCTTTTGCCTACAGTTTCCAGGAGCCTGACTGGAGGAGAGATTGTTGCCATCATCTTTGGGCTGCTGCTTGGTCTAGCTCTGCTGCTCGGGATTCATGTCTTCCGTTCAAGGTGCTGGTTGGTTCCTGTCCCCCCCCATTCAGTCTTTCTGGGTCCCTTTGCTTCATCAGAAGCCCTGACTGTGGCCCTGATGACCCTCCTATCCCCTACTACCAAAGCTCAGGTGTATCCTTCCACCGATCCTGTACACCCAGTCCCAGATGCTTCTGGGGCAAATTCAGCCAGAGCCCACTGGACCACTGAGGTGGTCCTGGGACCTGAAGATGCTGCCTCACCCCCACAGAAGAAGCCATCGGCAAGGACAGCAGAGGCAGCGTGACCATGTTGCTGATGTTGATCGAGGTAAGCCAGAGCACCTGTGTGCACTCAGGTGCTTACGTGTGTGTGTGTGTGTGTGTGTGTGTGTGTGCATGTGTATGTCTGTGTGATGCCACTGGGAAACAGCCAAGGGACCCATATTGCCAGGTCAACTCTGGGGGTATAGTCAAGTTTTATTGTCCCCAGGGCTCTCATGTTTCCTCACCTAATTAACTTTGGTTAATTAACTCTGCCCTGAGAGCCGACAGTGGCTCTGATGCAATTTTCTGCTGGGTGTTGGGGCCAATGCACCACCAACTTGGGCTATAGGCAGCCTTCCCCATTCAGGTGGCCAGGTCTGTGGGTCAAGGCCAGACCAGGGGTTGGGGGGGGGTTGCGGATTAAAGTCCTCTGAGGCATGATGTGGGCTTCCTGCTTGTCACCTCATTAGGTGGCCCTGTCAGAGGGCAGTCTGTTTCTATGGAAGTAGCTAGAGTGGAAGGAATGTTTTGGCTGGGAACAAATGAGGTGTGACTGACTAGAAGGACATGGGGACCAAAGCAAACCAAATGGAAGCCCACCATGAGCCATGGGAAGATTGGGTAACTCAGGGGAGGGAATCTGCTCCCAGGCCTGGGTTCTGGCCACTGCTTTGAACCCTGGGGAGTGAGGAGAGAGGAGCTTAGAGTATTGCAGGAAGAAGGGCCAGGATGTGGAGACTGACTTCAATGCTAAGAATAGAGACTTTCTCCCTCCTGAGCCCAAACAAGGTTCACCTCAGGTAGCAGAGAAGTGGGGAACAGGCTTCGCTGCTTGCCCTCCCCTCAACCCCTGTACTCTGAACCCTGAGTGGGTGCTGTTGTGGCTGAGACCCCTGTCCACCCCAGAGGACAAGTTGTGGCTGAAGCCCTACGTGGACCTCCAGGCCTATGAAGACCCTGCTCAGGGGGCCTTGGACTTCACCCAGGAGCTTGACCCAGGCTGGCTGACTGTGGACACAGTCATAGGGGAAGGTGAGCCCTGCTGTGCACCTCAGCTTTCTATGTGGCAGCACAGAGCTGCCAGCAAGCTCCTTCCTTCAGCCCCCTTCTCTGAAGAGCCCAGCTGACCTCTCCTCTAGCCCCAGAGTTCCCAGGTGAGCTCATACTTGCTCCACCTGCATCCTCCTTAAACTGCTGTGTTGTGTTTAAAAAAAAAAAAAACCTATCAGGTACACCGGAGCAGTCTCTGCCTCCAGCACACTTTCTCAGGGGTTATGGGGTTTCTGATAAAAGAGTGTTAAACATACCATGTCTGTCCATAAAGATGTTGAATGCCAGGGTCAGGCTGTTCTCAGATTGTTCCCAAAAGTAGGAGAGATTCAGAGCCCCCCAGGTCAGCATTCCACCCCACTGGGGGCCCAGTGTCCTTGGACTGCCCTGCTCCCTTGGGTCACCAGAGGAAATGGATCTGAGCAGAGAACAAAGCTTAGCAGTGTCCTTGCCAATAATGCAGGCAGGCTGGCCAAGCTGGGGCCAGGGAGCTCACTGTCAGAAGACAGCCAGCAAGGGTCAGCTGCCCCCTGCCACATGGGCACTGTCCCTGGTCCAGCCTGCCCTTCACAAACACAACCCAGTCCTGCTGTATAAGACTCATTCCCTCAGCATTTAGTGAGTACCTACTATAAGTCAAGTAGCATGCTAACCATGGAAGACAGTGCTGATCAGGTTGTAGAGCTTCATGTTGGTTCTGGACTGTCCCGAAACCCTGTCCCAGCAAGGGTACTCCATGTTTCTGACCCTTCAGAAGAGAAGGTTAGAGGACTGGAAGGGGTCACTGCCTGACCCTGGGGTAGCCTGACAGGGCAGGGCCAAAACCTTGTTTTCTTTGCACCTAGGAGAGTTTGGGGAAGTCTATCGAGGGACTCTGAGGCTCTCCAGTCAGGACTGTAAGACTGTGGCCATTAAGACCTTGAAAGACACATCCCCAGATGGCCAGTGGTGGAACTTCCTTCGTGAGGCGACCATCATGGGCCAGTTCAACCACCCACATATTCTGCATCTGGAAGGCGTTATCACAAAGAGTATGAGCAGCAGTCTCCATGAGCTGGGGCCTGGGGAGGGAAGAGGGTGAGCTACCAAAGGCAGGAAGCCTCTTCTGGGTGTGATGGCATGCACTTTGTGTCTCAGGAAAGCCCATCATGATCATCACAGAATTTATGGAGAATGGAGCCCTAGATGCTTTCCTGAAGGTGAGCTGGGAAGGGAATGTATCATGGGGCCCTGTGCCTTGGGAGGAGGGATAACTGGCCATTCCCTAACTTGCCCACTCATCCCCTGCAGGAGCGGGAGGATCAGCTGGTCCCTGGGCAGCTAGTGGCCATGCTGCAGGGCATAGCATCAGGCATGAACTACCTCAGTGACCACAATTATGTCCATCGGGACCTGGCTGCCAGGAACATCTTGGTGAGTCAGAACCTGTGCTGCAAGGTGTCTGACTTTGGCCTCACCCGCCTCCTGGACGACTTTGATGGCACCTATGAAACCCAGGTTAGAGCTCTGTATACACCATGTACACGTTCACATGTGCTATTTGGGCCACTCGTGGTTATGCATGTACAACCACAAAATCTCATGCTCATGTAGGCATGATAACCTCCCATTCCCTTCGCATGTGGTTTTCTTTACCCCTGTGCATGTCCTGAATCATCACTTTTCTGTGCCATGCCTTAGGGAGGGAAGATCCCCATCCGTTGGACAGCCCCAGAAGCCATTGCTCATCGGATCTTCACCACAGCCAGTGATGTGTGGAGTTTTGGGATTGTGATGTGGGAGGTGCTGAGCTTTGGGGACAAGCCCTATGGGGAGATGAGCAATCAGGAGGTGAGCTTAGAATAATCCTTCCCAAGTCATGCCTAACTCAACTTCTCATTTCTTCCCAAGTCCCTCCCATGGATTTTTTCCTCCAAAATCTTACTTCTTCCTCATCCCAAGTTTTTACACTCCTATCTTCTCTGTCACTTCACCTCACACCTTTGTTCCCATTAGTACTCCCACCCTTGTCAGGTTTGCTTAGAAACTCCATGATCCTGTATGAACATCGTTTTTTCCTGGGCCTCCAGGTTAGCTTTCTACCCTAGGGCAGCCTTCCCTGTCCTCTGCTGTAGGTAATGAAGAGTATTGAGGATGGGTACCGGCTGCCCCCTCCTGTGGACTGCCCGGCCCCTCTGTATGAACTCATGAAGAACTGCTGGGCATATGACAGTGCCCGTCGGCCCCACTTCCTCCAGCTACGGGCACATCTGGAGCAATTGCTTACCGACCCCCACTCTCTGAGAACCGTCGCCAACTTTGATCCCAGGTAACCAGGTTGGGAAAGGACAGAGGAATTCAGAGGGCAGATCTGGAAGAATAGAAATGAGCATTTTATTATGTCCACTGAGTGCTGGGCCCTAAGAAGCTCTGGACAAGTGTCCAGGTGTATGAGCAGGACCCTGTGCTTGACCTTGGGGAGAGCCCAGCCTGCTGGAGATGAGGTCATGTGCTCCATGGCTATAGTTTGACAGAAGGTAAGAAGCAAGCACACTGAGGTGGGATGCACATGGAGAGTTTTAAAAGGTACAAATTAGGTCAGTTCTAGATTATCCACATGGCAGAAAACTACGCCCAGGTCTCAGCTCCCTACCTTCACCTGGGAGCCTTCCTAGAGCCATCCTTGCATGCCCCCCTACATTGTAGCACAGATGGAGTCTCTGGGGAGTATCTGTGGCCAGGTACTTGGGATACATTCTCTTCACCATAAAATATTCCTGCATGTGGAAGAAAGGTTTATACATTTGACAGTTTTGGAAGTACCTACTGGTGTAAGCTTTTTGCTAGACATTGGAGATACAGTAGGGCTTAACGGCATGGTACCTGCCCCAAGAAGCTTGGGCAGCTAGTTTAGGGTGGGGACAGCAAGGGCAGCTAGGAGGGAGCCTCAGAAGTGCTCTGAAACCATGGCCAGTCTGGGGGACACTGAGAGCTGATGGTTGCAGGAAATGGCAATGTCTAGTTCAGGGACAATTTTGCTAAGAAGGCTGGACTTCTTGAGTGCAGGTAACTGTTGACTAGTTTCTCAAAACTGGGAGGAACATGGTCAAAATTGTATTCTACCAGAAATATGGCCAGAATGTAGAGAATGAAGTAGTGAGAAGGGGGTCAGGTGGGGGAGCCGGGCAAGGCTGGACTTTGAGTACTTTATTGGGTAAAGCAGTCTGGTGCACAGGCCTCTGTATCAAACCACCATATATAACCTTGTTTCTGGGAGCAATTGTGCTCCAAGTTCCAACTTTTGAAGCTATCTTTTGGAGCACAACTCCCTCGGACGCTGGAGACTGCATGTGCTAATCTTTCTGGAATGCTGGATATTTTTCCCCCAGATTTACTTTGCTAATGGTTTTTGGCTCTGACTGGCTTTAGTACAGGAACACTCATTGTATTGTGGGCGTCAGAGTGTAAGAATAACAACCAAGGTTGAAGGTGGCAAGCAGGACTGCTCCTAGGACTTGGGCAATCACCCTGGGAAAAGGCAGGACCACCCGCACCCAGTTGGCTGGCCTATTCTCTCCTGCCTTCCTCTTCCTCTCAGGGGGCACTTTCATGTCTGACAGACTGAGGGTCCACTTTGATTATGAACTCCCAGGACAGCCACCTTCCCTAGGTCTGTCCACATAGCAGGTCTGTCAGCTGCCCACCTACTGCTGTGAGCACACCAGGAAGCAGGCCAAGAAGTGGGTTCAGACAAGGCTGGCTAATCCACCAAGCCTAGATTATCTCTACATGGGCACCCAATTTCAGTGCTGGATGCTAACGTGGAGGCCGATGCAAACCAGTCCCTGTTCCCCACAGGGTGACTCTCCGCCTGCCCAGTTTGAGTGGCTCTGATGGGATCCCTTATCGAAGTGTCTCTGAGTGGCTTGAGTCTATTCGCATGAAGCGCTACATCCTGCACTTCCGCTCAGCGGGGCTGGACACCATGGAGTGTGTGCTGGAGCTGACAGCCGAGTGAGAACACTGGGCAGGGGTGGCCTGGACAAGGGAGGGTGGCTGGAGTCTGAGGCTCCAGACTCAGGCCCTCCCTTCCTCTTCCACAGGGACCTGACGCAGATGGGAATCACACTGCCAGGGCACCAGAAGCGTATTCTTTGCAGTATTCAGGGGTTTAAGGACTGAGCAGCTAAAGCAGAGATACCTCAGCCCTCCCCTGCCCTCAGGGAACAAGGACAGGGCCATTGTCAACTCCTTGGGCCCTTCTTCAACCTACAAGATGTAGGCTTTTGGTGCTGCTCCTGCCCACTCTTCTAGGACTCTGCCTCTGGACCCAGGAGCCTGTTTTAAAAATGGAGGTTGGGGGGTGGAAATAAAGCAATTGTGGGAGGGTGGGCATGGGGGGAGGGTTTAATATATACTTGCATATGCATATCTATTTTTGTAAATAAACAGGAGCTGAGTTTCCATCCCTATCCCTGATCGTTTTATCTCTCTATTCCCTCTGTTGCATCCCCAAGAAGTACAGATACTACCAAAGAGTCAATCGACTACAGAAAATTCTGTAAAACAAGGTTTTTTAATTTTTAGCTGTAGCCACAACCTGGCAGCATGGGTAGGGTGGGTATCCAGGCTGGGGCCAGGCTCCCAGAGGCACAGGCCATCTCCCCAGCCCTCAGCAAGCAGAGTGCAGAGGCTGCTCAGGCTAACCAAGGGCATCGGTGCAGCAGTGAAAGCAGCAGCACTAAACTGGTGCCCCTCGGGTGGGGACCTGGAGGAAGGTGGGCTATCCCTGCAGAATGTCAAGGACTGGAGCCCAAGGCTGGGCCTTGGCACCCTGGTGGGGCCCTGGGTTATCGCACTTGAGATGCTGGGGAGGGGTTTGGAATGGAGGAGGGGTGAGATGGGTGGAGGCAAGGATTGGTCTCAGTGTGGGTGGTCCAAAATATGGAATGGACCTTCTGGAAGGAAGCTGGTCCTCACTCAGGTCTGGGCTCTAGCAGTGTGGCACTTCCGACAAAGCACATGGCCATCCAGAGGGAAGCAGCCGTTTTCATCTGCCTCAATGGACAGTGGCTTCCCACAGTCCTAGGAAGAAGGAAGGGTAGTAAGGACACTGGCTGAGGAGGTCCCTGCTTCACCCTACTACATATTTAAATTAGAAAGACCAAATGTTTCATAAGGCTCAGAGCTAATGTCTTGCTCATGCATGTCTTCTCATCCTCTCTATCTCCCCACTCCACAGTGCCCACCAGGCCTCTCCTGCAGAAGAGGAAGTGGGTACCATTGCCTTCCAAGAGTAGGTTTGGAGTCTTCAGTCTCAACTCTATTCTGACCTCTTCTCCTATAACTTCATTCAGTTCCCCCATTCCTTGCCACAATAAAACAACACTCTTCCCTCCCATTGGGAAGTCCCTTTCTTGGTTTATCCAAGATTCAAAGTGACCTTCCTAAGGAGACAGGAGGGATGGCTGACCTCACACTTGTAACACTTCATGTGGAAGTTCTTGTCCAGAGCGACCACTCGCACAGTCTCATCACGGCCAGGCTCAGGCATGATAGGCTCCGAGCAGACAGAGCACCTCGGGGCGTACTGCCTGGTGGGACAGAAAGGAGGAGCAGAAAGCATAGCCATGGGGTCAGAGAAGTCAGGGACACTTCAGGCTTTCACCTCCCCAGAAGAGCACAGGTTGTAAGGCCAAAGGGCACCTGGAGGAAGCTGACAAAAGAGGCTAAAGACCAAGTGCCACAGGTGGCCTTAGCAAAGGGAATTTCCTGCCTCTCCATTCATCCTACCAATGCCCCATCTCCCACAGAACCTCACCTGCAGCTTAGCAGGAAGCACAGGGAAGATGCCCCTCCTGCACCCACCTTGGCCTACCCCCAGTATGTGGGTGCCTCTGCCCTGACCCCAGACAGTATAAAGAGATGTGGGGTCTTGGTCACCCAGGTAGAATCCAGAAAATGAGTCCACCAGACAAATCATTAGAGGTGGGGGCAGACTACAGTTTTCCCGAGTTGCCCTTTATCTACATGATGGTATTTTGTCAGCCAGTCTGAGAAAGTGGCAGTCTTATAATCACTGTTTCTAGGGAGAAATCAGTGCTCCAAACAGCTGAGCTCAAAGGAACTTACAAAACCCAGTCTGCATGTGAGTGCAGTCACTCCAACCACATTGCTCCACACTGGATACAGCCAAAGAGGCCAATGAGCAGAGGCTAGCAGGGAGCAGGACTCCTACCAGGCCTAGGGCCACCATATAGCCAAATCCAGACAATTTGTCCCCTGCTGTCTACAGCAGGATGTGGGGTCAGAAAGCAAGACCTAGGTCGGATGCTATCCTGGGACCAGGTGACAGGCAGTCTGGCTATCAAACAAAGCATGGATGGAACCCAGAGAAGAGCTCAGAAAAGACATATGTGGGTCCTTACTTGTGGTAGTCAGGGACACAGTGGGGCCGGTTGGCCTGGTCCACGATGAAGGAGGTACCCTCCAAAGGGCAGGCACAGACCACGCAGGTGAAACACTGTGGGTGGTATGCTTTGCCAGTAGCTCTCAGCATGCGGTCAGTGATGGGCTGCCCACAGGTGTTACACTTCTCCAGGGTGTCCTAGGAAGCAGTGAGAGCCAGGTCAGCAGGGAACTAGCACCAAGGGCCAGCTCCCAGGGCTCATCTACCCCCAATCCAGCCAGAAGCCTGTACTGTGACTCACGGTATAGCAGCCCTCACAGTATGGCGCCCCCTCCAGGCTGTAGAACTGCTGTCCCTGGAGCTGCTGTTCACACTGGTGGCAAGTAAAGCAGGTGATGTGGAATAGCTGCCCTAATGCACGGACTGCAGGTTGTGCCCGGGCCAGTGGCTGATGGCACCGGCCACAGGACTCTGGAAAGCCACAGAAGAGCACCATCAGGAAGGACACAAGCTCACAAGGAATCCACCACCTCTGACCTGGCCAGCACAGAAACGGAGGGGGAGGTATCCCCACAGAGTGGGCTATGAGCTTACCATTCACTGTCACGCTCTGCCTCTGAGGATGCTCCATGTCCTGCATCAGCTGCTGGGTCAGCTGCTCCAGCTCTTCCACCTCCTTCAGAGTCAGGGGTCCTGGGGCCCCAGGAGAGCGCACCTGAAACCCCAACACCTTCTCCATATTCTTGACGGTTGCTCCCGCCAAGAACCTGCCAGGCCGGATGACCCCTTTCTTCTACTGACACCTGGCTCCTTGTTGCTCAGCTTTGACCCCCTTAAAGCTCCTCCTTCTCCCTTCCAGCCCCGAACCCCAGGACCACACACATAATAGATGGGCAGAGGAAGACCTCAGCCTGGATCTCCTACAGTGACACATCTCCTCCACCCGTTTTGCCCAAATCCCTGCTCCCCAGACAGTCACAGACAGGCCAGAACAACCGAGCAACGGAGGCCACGCACACAGCAGCTCAGGTCACTGAAGCACTGACTTCACAGAGCATGCTTGGACAGGGTCCCCCATAGAAGAGGGGCACGCAATGGGTGCACACACACGTGCACACACCTACCCGTCCTGCCTGCTGCTGAGCACCTGTCAGCATGAGGATGCAACATAGGCGGGAAGCACAGGTTAAACCCCAGATGTCTGCAGGAGTCCAGCCCCTAGCTCCCCCACACAGACACTCTAGGGTCTCTCCTAGGAGAGGGATTTCTGGTCTACCCAATAAACCCCCTTCCTTCTCAGCAGGCCTCAGAGAAGGCTCAAAGGCCAATGCCCAGGCTAGTTGACCCTTCCCATGTAGGAGATCCTGAGTACTGGAGACTAGGTGTGAAGGTGATTAGGGACAGGGGGCTGAATAGCCCTGAGAACCCAGGGAGGCCTTCTGCACCAGCGTGTTCATGAGAACACACCCATAAGCACACTGTATAAGTCTTCTCTGGGTCCTGGGTAAGTCTACCCAGGACCATGACCCCCACTACTGATGCCTTTACTTCTCCAATACCTGGAACCCCAAAGCCTCCCTGTTACCTCCTCCAACACCACTCTCTCCTCACCCTGTCCTGCTCCCAGAGCTGTACTCAGAGCGGCACCAGCTCTGCTCTGCCCTCCACAAGGAAGTGCAGAATCATGGAGGTCAAATTCCCCCAGATCTTAGCAGTTTGCCCATTAAGATTCCTGCCATCTCATGCTCTGAATGCAAAATTCACCTTTTTCCTCTCCAGGCTTCCCTTCCTGGCCTTCTGGAGACAGGGAAGGTATTCATCCTGCTCTTGCTCTCCAGTGTAAATGCCTGCTCCATTCTTTGCAAGGATGCACTATTTATCCACACCCCTCCCTGTGGGCACCCATATCCTGCAGGACACTACTGGCCACTGCCTTCCTCTCTGCAACAATGTCACTGCTCCTCAACACCCAAGATCCCAAACTTCTCTCCATCACACCTTCTACCTCAGGACAACTGCAACCTAAGGTTTGTGAGCTCTTTGCTTCCAAAGTCCCTCCCAACCAATGGTAAAAACCTCTCTTTTTACCATTCCCTACTAAGTGACCCTAGCAGAAAACCTGGAGTGCCAGACTCCCCACCTGTCCCATGTGCTTTGCCCAGCCAGCAGCCTCCAGGCTGGCCTCTCAACCAGCTCTATCTACAAGGTTACCATTGTCACTCCTGCACACTCAGCCACACAGGGCTATCTAGCCCCATCTCCAACCCCAGGTCACACCACGGACTGCTTCCTGTTTCTGCCTCCAAGCTGCAGAAAGTAGGTGGAGAGAAACTGAACACTGCAGAGTGACTTCCCAAAACACTGCAGTGCCCTCCACACCCTCCAGCCCCAGCTTCTCTGTCTGGTATTTGGCTCCAGCTGATTCCCAGTTGCCTTCCCCACAGCAGCTGTTCCAAACCTTTTCCATCTCCCCCAGCCCCCAACAGCTTTGCCCCTCACTGCTCACTGATGACCTCACCCACTACATGCCTGGCAGCCAGCCAGTGTAAGCTCCCTTGTCCTTCCTCTCCACAGCAAACATCATACATGCCACCCTGTCCTTACTCCATGGGAATCAGTTCCTGCTCTCAGGCACTGAGTCCTTCCCCACTGGCTTCTCCCTCCTGGAATACCTGGGCCTTCCTCCTGTAACTCGAAACATATACACACAGGTGCACTCAGTCTTTCCCTTGTCCTTTTCACTGTTAACCTTCGGGACCAAGCTACCCTACAAACTCCACATTCCCTCCTCAACTCCTTATATGTTACCCCTACCACAGAGCACAAATGGGCCACCCTCACTGACCTCTGCATAACCCTGTGAACTTGGGAGACCATCTGACCTGCACTAGTCTGTCCCTGAGACCTCCCATAGGAGTACTCGGTGAATTTTCTCTACTATTGGTTAAGTCAACCCAGGACCGTGACCTAATGGTCTTGACTACTAGGTCATCTACAATGTCCTAATAGATAAATCTGAGTCCTGCTCGCCAAGCCCCTGCTGAACAGCCCCCCAGTCCCTTCATTCACTCCTCTGGATTTTGTCCTGGGACCCTTTCCTTCTCTAGCACTGCTCCCTCCCTCTTTGCTATTCTTCTTCTCCCACCTTGCCAACGTGGCATGATCCAAGGTTCCTCCCAAGGCCCTCAGCTCCCTCTACAAAGTCTCTGCAAGCCTGTCAGCTCCTATTACCTCAGTGTCCCCTTGTACATGGTTTGGGGCCTATTCATGAATCTATGTCACATTTCCAGCTAAGAGCAAGTGCTCCTGGAACCCATTGCTCAACATGCTGACAGCTGGACCCTCCTCTTCCTGTCCAATCCATTTCCCCTTCTGGACTTCTCTATTTTGTCAGCAATACTGTCACTTCCCAACACACCCAGGGTCTGGCATTTTTTCCTCCTCTCCCTCTTCTCTTCTTACAACTGCTTATCAGTTGCCTCCTCCTGTAGGCCTTTCCTTTGTAACAATATTCGTCCCTGGGTCTTATTTTTCTTTGTAACTTATGTTACTGTGACCCAGGAGTGAACTCACACACATCACTGACTTCCCTACCTCTCATACACATCTCTGCTGAAAAAACTCAGCAGAAAACATCCAAAAGCACAGTTTTTACCAGCCCTCCAGACCCAACCATACACTATTCAAGTCATTAATGATTCTCCAATATGCACAAACTCCCAGGTTGCAATTTCATTTCCTACTTCCTCTAGCCCCCACCTACCTCTGAGTATAGCTCTTTTTCCCCACAGGAACCTTCTGCTTTCTGTTCTCTAAACACCCCCTGAGTTTTGCCCATGCTTTTTTCATTCAAATATTGTTCCCTCTGGTCTGAATTCTCAACTCCTCCCATCCTTTCAGGCATACCAACCTCCTCATGACTTGCCAGTCCCCAAGCTGGCTCCCTGTTCTGAGTTCCTTTAACTCACAGGATTCTGAGTTATAGGAACTTAAGGGCACTTGGCATTTCTTCCTATACTGTGTCAGATTATATACAAACATTCATCAGGTAAACTCCATGGATGGTTGGACCAGGTGACCATCAGGTTACTTCAACTCAAAAGAGCTCCTGAACTAAAGGGCAAGAACCATTTCCTTTGTTTCTATTTTGAGCATTTGTGTGCCAAAGAGAGCCCAGCACTTTCTAAGCATTGGTTAACTTACTTTTCATAATGATCATAGGGAATAGATAGTATATTTAGAACCTGGAGAAAGTGAGGGGGAAAGTTCACCTAACTTGGGATCTGGCGACATATGAGAAGCTAAGCCAGGAATTCTATCCTAGGTTCATCAATTAAGAAGACTGAACCTGTTTTAAGGATCTCTTCCCTTGTGTGTCCCTGCCACTGAGCACAGTGCCTGGCACTTAGCTTATGCTAGCCCAGCCAATGTTTACTGCTACAGGCTCTTATCTCCAGATGGGCCCTTAGGCACTGAAAGTGCTCAGAGCTGGGAGATTAACTCAAGGCCCAAGAACTGGAAAAACCAAGGCTGGACTGGTGATCTCATTCTCCCCTTTAACATTCTGGGGCAGAAATGCAAGGGAAGGTGGCCCAAATCCTAATTCTGAGCCCTTGCTGCTCCGCACTGAGTCAGCCCCACCCAGTGCCAGACCAGCCAAGCCCCTTGCCCAAAAGAGCTTTTTCTCCCTATATTCTACCAGTGGAACCTCAAAGGTGAATACTCCCATACCACCACCCCCAGTGTACTGACTCCCTCTCCAACACCTGTCCATTCTTCTCTGGCTCCTTTCATAGCCCCACCCCAGCCCCAGGCCTTCAGCCTTAACCAGTCCCTCACCTGGCTTTGGTTTTGAACCGGAGGGGGTGCTGGGTGCTGCTTCTCCTGTACTCGGGGTTTCTCCCTCTGCTGAGCATAGATGAAGCTGGGAGGCTGAGGGGAGCCTGTGCTGGTGGAAGATGGAGCTTCAGGAGGCCCCAATTTTTGATTAGGCTGTGATCCAGGTCCACCTGGGGCTCCAGGGCTGAATTTCGAAGCCACAGGAGTAAACTTGGGAGCCACTGGAGAAAACTTAGGGGCTGGAGATGGAGCTGGGGAACCTCGGGGCTGTGTGTTAGCTGGAGACACAGGCTGGGGTTGGGCCTGGGGCTTGGCCTGGGGCTGGGGCTGGACATGGAGCTTGACCTGAGGCTTGGCCTGGGGCTGGGGCTGGGGCTGGGGCTGGACATGGAAGAGTATCTGGCTCTGAGGCTGAGCCTGAGACGGAGGCTGAGCCTGAGATGGAGGCTGAGCACTAGAAGGGGCCTTCCAAGGAGGCAGAGGTGCTGTGCCCCCAGACGCAGGTTTAGGACTCGACTTGGGGACAAATGGAGTAGCAACTGGTGGGGGTACATATCCAGATGACACCTGCAAGGGAAGGCAGGGAGGAGAGGAGTGCATTTAGAGGGAGCTGCCACTCTCCATAGTTCTATCCCTCCCCCTCTTTTTATTTCCCCCAGCCCAGCTCTTCCTTCTGTCCCGTCCCTTACCCTGGCTTTGAAGGGATCATTCTTTGTCATGTCATCCAGGAGCGAAGACAGAGAGTCAATCTCCAGGTCAATACTGCTCACCTTCTCCCTGGGCTAGAGGGTCAGGGGTCAGAGAACCATCCCAGTCCTCCCTTCCTACCCCTGCCCAACAAGGCAGAGTGGAAGGAGAGGTAAGAGGAAAGACCTCTCCTTTTTCTTAGGGGTTGTCTGGGCGCAGCCGCCCTCCCAGGCCCCGTACCTGCGGAGGGAGCGGGGCGGGGGCCTCAGGCCCTCCCTCCTCCTCCAGTGGAGGCGGCGGGGAAGGAAAGATGTCCTCCAGAGGTGCAGGGGGAAACGGTTCCTCCTCGATTGGGGGAGGTGGAGGTGGGAAGGGACCTCCCAGAGCAGCCTCCGTGTCCTCACCATCCCCAAGGAGAGGGGGCGGAGGTAAGGGAAAGTCTGGGTAGGAAGAAGGGAGAGGATCATCAGTAGATCCCTCTTTCCCCCAGTTCCCCTGCGTCTACAGCGCTAACCCTAATTCGACAACTCTTTCGGGGTCCCAGAGCGACTCGGCAGAGGAGTGGGGCAGCTCCCGTTACACGTCGGAGAACGGATCCAGAAGGGAAGATTCCTGGCCCATATTCGCGCCTCCCACCCCCAGGCGGGAGACTTGGAACGGTCCCAGGAGCCCTGGCTCCCAGCCATGAGCTCCACGATGAGGTAAGAACATCTGCTCGGGACAGGGTAGCTGCGCCCAGCCCCCTCCGCAACAACCTTTCCAGGCACCCCCAAATTCCCGAAACCACCGCCCCCACCCTGGCGCCGGCCGGCGTCCAGCCCCCAAGCACAGCTTATACCTTCCGGGGGCGGCGGGGGGATCTCGCCCACCCGACCCATCTGTGCGCGCTGGGCCCCTGCCGCAGCGGGAGGATCGCTGTCCCCAGGCCGAAAAGGATTCACTTTGGGTTTTGGGGCCACCACCGGGCCGAACTTCTTCTGCGGGGCGTAAAAAGCCGGAGCCGAGACGGAGATCACCGGAGGCGGGCGGGGGGCCGCCATGGCCGGGCCGGGCCGGGCTGCTGGGGGTGGGGGTGTGGGTCGCCAGGTTAGCAGAGCCGCGCCGCCGGGCTGAGGACAGCCTGGTGGTCCCAGCGCCCTTCGGCGACCCCACCCTCCCCTCCCCGCGCTCCCTTCTCGGGGCCGGGGGCCCGCTCCCCGCGCCTTACCGCTGGCGGGAGCGTGAGCGCAGCGTCTCGGGCGACCGCCTCGGCGCCGGGTCCGCGGACTCTGCGTCCCGGTCCCGAGCAGCTTCCAGCCAGGCAGGGAGGGACGCAAGGAAGAGGGGGGGCGGGAGGGGGCGGGGAGAGAAAGGCGCCCAGACCATACAAGGAGCGGCCCGGAGAGGGGGCGGGGAGAGCCGGGGAGGGCGGGCAAGGAGGAAACTCCCCCAGGAAGGGGCCCTGATCCTGCCCCGGGCCGGAGGCTCAGCAGAGGTCCTCCCGCGGCCGCCCCACTCACCGCCGCCCCCGCCGGGCACAGACCACCCTTCCCCTAGCACAGGCCTCTGATGTCATTTCCTGACCTGCCCCGCCCCCCGCCCGACCCGCGAGTGCCCGAGATCTGACTCACCGTCCCCACTCCGGACTGAGCCGGCGGGCGGGTGTCCCAGAGGTACCGAGGCAGCCCAGCCCCCCTCTCCGGGCCTGCCGTTACCTGTCCCCCCGTTATTCCCTGCTGCTCCTCTCCCAAGCCGGCAGCTCCGCGCCCCAAACACCCTCAGGTCAGCCGGGGCTTGCAGGGCTGGGTTGGAACCGGGCTGTCGGCTGGGCGGGGATGGCGAGCGGGCGTTCTCCCACTCTGAGCCCCTCGCCAGGCCCTTCTGCGGCCGGCGAGAGGGTGAGCAGGAATCTCACACGCGTTCTTGGGGGAATCTAACTTCCACCTCTGGGCAGCCTCTTAAGTCTTCTAGGGATTCTCATTGCCCGCGCCCCCGCCTGCAGATCAGTTGCCCGAGGGTGTCCCGCGCGCAGAGCCCAAGAATGAAGGTGCGGGGGCGGGGCCGAGGCCTGGCTGCCGGTGGGCTTTGGACCTGGGGGGACCCACGTACACACAGGCGACCAGTCCCCACAGTTCTTCAGCGCCCACCGCGATCCACCCCCTCCAGGAGCTTTTGGGGTACAGCGGGGCTTTTGAGGATTTGGTGGAGCCCCCCACTGGCCCGACTGGATTCTTCATCCTGCGACTCCGTGCCAAGAGACCAGACATGGGTTTTTGTTTTGATGTGGGTTTTTTTGTTGGTTTTTTTTTTTTTCGGTACAGGGACTTGAACTGAGGGCCTACACCTTGAGCCATTCCACCAGCCCGTTTCTGTGATGGGCTTTTTCGAGATAGGGTCTCGTGAACTATTTATCCCGGCTGGCTTGGAGCCGCGATCCTCCTAATCTCTGCCTCCTGAGTAGCTAGGATTACAGATACGGGCCAACGCGCCCGGCAGGTTTTTGTTTTTAATTGTACACGAAAACTTACACAATCGCCATCTGAATTTTTCCACACTCACTACGTGCAAATTATGGAGTCATGCCTTTTGCCCTCTATAAGTACAATATCACCCTCAGGCTCTTTCTTTTCTCTCATCCTGTCATCCCAGTCAGTTATCTTGTTCATAGTATAGTCAGCTTCCAGTTCCTGGCCCTCCATTTCCGCTGCACCCTGCACAGTAGTTCAGGAACATGTGGGTTATCTTTAGTACCAGGTTAACAACCCCATTAATTTATGATTAGAAAACGGGGGCTGAAGAGGCTCACACAGGGCCAAAGGCAAGTCAGAATTTATTCCCTTGTACCCTATGCCAGCTGAGGCAACACTGGATGCCCAGAGCAGAGTAAGGCCAGAACAAAATCCCAGGGTGATGCCCAGAGCAAAATCTCAGCTTGATGCTCAACCTACAAATCTCTTCAGTCATTCTACTTAACTTTCTCCATCTGTAAGAGTGATGGTTTTCAACTGCCCTATTGCATTAGAAATAAATGAAATATCATATCTGAAAATTCTATATAATACTCAAGTGCTATTCAAATCCCAGTTTTGCCTAGAATGGAAATTCTGACCCAGTTAACCTAAGGCAGTTTTCCCCCACGTTATTTCTGGTTGCCCAGCAAATCTCTCACAGGTCTTGGTATATGCAGTGCCCTCTCCTTCCTTCCACCTTAAGTCCTTAATTATATCTATGACTATATCTTCATTCCTTCTCAGACCCCACTGGTCTTTCTTTTTTCCAGGATCTTACTGTCTTTGTCATAGTCACAATATGTGTGGCAATGTATGAGACAAAGTGTGCAGGTACACACATTCCCTCTGACACGCACAAGCTGGTTCCCGCCTGTCCCTATGGAGATCTGTTAGAAATTTGATACTGGATTTCCTGTGCATGTTAGTGATTGTTTCTTGGGCTTTACAGACAAAAGGTCTCATCGCATCCTTCCAAATATGTCCACATAGGGAAAAAAATTAACACCGTTTCCAGATTAACTTCATAAAACTAAAAGCCACCTACCCTCTAAAAGCTTCTTTAAGGAATGTGCATGTGCAAAATAGAGTATGTGTAATTGTTAGGCAGACGAACCTATTTATAAATCAAGAATAAAAGAGTGCATATGCAGGCTTAGTTTTACTGACATCTAAGAGTATTCAGGATGCAGAATATTAAAGCTAAGATTTTTAACTCGGCCATTCTAAACACAAGTAGATGCACACAGAATTTCACAGGACAGAATCCCTAACCCAGGATGCTCACGTGGAACTTCAGAATCAATGCTATTAAATGCAGACAACGAGGAGGTATTGCCAACTCTTACATATTTTTCTTCTTTTTTTTATTGTTTTATTATTCATATGTGCATACAAGGCTTGGGTCATTTCTCCCCCCTGTCCCCACCCTCTCTCTTACCACCCACTCCGCCCCCTCCCTCTCTCCCCCACCCCCTCAATACCCGGCAGAAACTATTTTGCCCTTATCTCTAATTTTGTTGAACAGGGAGTATAGGCAATAATAGGAAGGAACAAGGGTTTTTGCTGGTTGAGATAAGGATAGCTATACAGGGAGTTGACTCACACTAATTTCCTGTGCGTGTGTGTTACCTGCTAGGTTAATTCTTTTTGATCTAACCTTTTCTCTAGTTCCTGTCCCCTTTTCCTATTGGCCTCAGTTGCTTTTAAGGTATCTGCTTTAGTTTCTCTGCGTTAAGGGCAACAAATGCTAGCTAATTTTTTAGGTGTCTTACCTATCCTCACCCCTCCCTTGTGTGCTCTCGCTTTTATCATGTGCTCAAAGTCCAATCCCCTTGTTGTGTTTGCCCTTGATCTAATGTCCACATATGAGGGAGAACATACGATTTTTGGTCTTTTGGGCTAAGCTAACCACACTCAGAATGATGTTCTCCAATTCCATCCATTTACCAGCGAATGATAACATGTCGTTCTTCTTCATGGCTGCGTAAAATTCCATTGTGTATAGATACCACATTTTCTTGATCCATTCATCAGTGGTGGGGCATCTTGGCTGTTTCTATAACTTGGCCATTGTGAATAGTGCTGCAATAAACATGGGTGTGCAGGTGCCTCTGGAGTAACCTGTGTCACAGTCTTTTGGGTATATCCCCAAGAGTGGTATTGCTGGATCAGATGGTGGATCAATGTTTAGCTTTTCAAACTACATTACAAAGCAATAACGATAAAAACAGCATGGTACTGGCAGAAAAACAGACATGAAGACCAGTGAAACAGAATAGAGGACCCAGATATGAAGCCACACAACTATAAGCAACTTGGCTTTGACAAAGGAGCTAAAAATACACGATGGAGAAATAGCAGCCTCTTCAACGAAAACTGCTGGGAAAACTGGTTAGCAGTCTGCAAAAAACTGAAACTAGATCCATGTATATCACCCTATACCAATATTAACTCAAAATGGATCAAAGGTCTCAATATCAGACCCCAAACTCTTAAGTTGATACAAGAAAGAGTAGGAAATACTCTGGAGTTAGTAGGTATAGGTAAGAACTTTCTCAATGAAACCCCAGCAGCACAGCAACTAAGAGATAGCATAGATAAATGGGACCTCATAAAGCTAAAAAGCTTCTGTTTATCAAAAGAAATGGTCTCTAAACTGAAGAGAATACCTACAGAGTAGGAGAAAATATTTGCCAGCTACACATATTTTTCTTAAGCAAGCAATGCTGATTGTTATCTTCAGGTATGCATAAAGTGCAGCAAATGAATGGATGTCCCCACCTAAAGCATACACAACAGCTTGGGATCAGGCCAGGGAGAGAAAGTAAGAAAATGGTCACTGACCTTTACATCCTAAAACATACCTGCAAGGATTTATATCCACCAGAAAGTTTTCTTCAAGGGTACACAGTGTAAAGCCATTCATGGAAGAAAAAAGAAGAAAGAAGACAGTGACAAAAAATGAATTCCAAAACAAAAAGAAGGATGCTCTCAGGAGGTCTTTTCATATGTTGGCTGCAAGCAGATAAGGCGATTATATGCCAGGCACCTACCTAAACATTCTAACAAACAGACCAACACACCACTTCACAGTAATAACCACAATAACTGTGTGCACTTAGGCCTGGGGATGAAGCTCAGTGGTAGAGCACTTGCCTAGCCAAGCATGAGGCCCTGGATTTGATCTCCAACACCACGAAAGAGAAAAGAAAAAAGAGCACACAGATAATGCATAGTGGGTTGTTACAGGCACAATGCTAAGCTCTTTTAAATATATTGCCTCCACTTATTCTTCATGCAAAAAGAACTGAGAATACCCTTTACCTCATTCATCTGTTAAAGACGCTGAAGCGAACTGTTGAATTTTCACTAAGCTGCACAATTTTTTGCAACACAAATATTTTGTTGTTTAAAAGAGTCCTGCCCATTTCTCCCCACCCCCAACCTCACTTACACCTTACATTTTTGTATACTATGGCTCTCTTCTTCTGATGTTCCAGGCTGACCCTCCACAGCCTTTTCAATTCTGTCTTGTACTGAACCCCCTCACTTAATACCCATAGGCCACAACTTTGTCTCATAATGCCATCAAATTCCATCTATCTGCATGTGTACACACACACACACACACCCCTCCTATATCTGTGAGTGATAGTATGCATGTTTTTGTATAGTAGTACCTTTCCAGAAGGTTTCTCAAAAATTGTTGTATTTCCCTCTGTGAACATGTATTACTCTTATAATCTAAGAAACAAAAAAGGAGAAGAATGAACACCATCAGGACTTTTTGCTTATTGTTTGTACTAAGAGCCATGTACACATGGTCTACAGTTTCC